GTGTGTGTGTGTGTGTGTGTGTGTGTGTGTGTGTGTGTGTGTGTGTGTGTGTGTGTGTGTGTGTGTGTGCGGACGCGCTTAGATATAAATGGGGCTGCATGGAGGGAGGGGGTAGCTGTCATTGTGCGCCACAACTGAACTGTAACAGGTGATGGAGGGGTGAGCATGAGCATCACAAGGAGGCTTAGACACTCAATTACGGTGCTGTTGCCTTAAATAATAATAATAATAATTCAGTTTAGAAGATGGAAGCTGAGCACGCTACCATGCTCATATCGTTACAGTCACAATGTTAACATTCAAACTATATGAATAGACATTAAAAACTATATAGAGATGGACACTTTATATAGAGAAATGAAATCTAGGAACCGCTGGATAATCTTTAAATTGCCAGAGTTTCAAAGCCTACCCATGTTTAAAATTTAGCACTGCAAGAAAAAAAAACTTCACCTACAAACGTACAAATTATGCCGTTTGTAGGTGAAGTTAGCTGCCTTACAGAGGACTATGACGCATACACTGCAATACTTATATATATATATATAAAATACCAAAAATATTAGAAGTCCAGAGAAACCCATCTGCTTGTACATCACCAAACCTGTTACTGCATTTCTGTATTCTTTGCCAAATTTTGGAGCTGAGCATGATTTGGAAAGTGATCATTATTGCTGCCATCAGTGTAGATCTCATACAGCTGATACTATGAATGATTTGCAGTTACGAGAAACACTGTTTCCAACCAGCTCTGTGTCTACAGGCTGCATATACGCTGAACAGTGTATGTAAAAAAAATAAAAAAAATCTCGTAGCTTTGATCTCAGTTTCAGCAAGAGAGAGTCGATGTAGACAGAAAACTGTAACAAAATCACTACAGCTTCATTATGCAGAGAAGAGTGTTTGTGCGTTTACTGGGGTCAAAGTTTGTAGCATGTCATTGAACTACTATATATTTTTCCTGCAATATTGTAAATAAGTAAACATACATAAGTTAGAAATTTAAGCAAAGCAAAATACTTTTTAATTTTTTTCTTTTTCTTGAATATTGTGTCAAATAATTGTAACATGTTTTATTTAAACTACAATCCAATACACAAGTCCTGCATTAAATACTGTACTTATATTAATTAATTAATTAATCTAAATAATGAATGGACTTAAACTTAACATGAACACAATATTAAAAATATTTATCCAGTACAACTCTGTTTAAAACAGAGTGTAGAACTAGCTTGAAATACACCAACAACTAAAAAAATCCAACACACAGAACATTTGATGTGGTTGTTACATGGTGTAGGGCTGCTGCATTGCATTGTATTACATCATGCATATTTTGTGTTCTAGTTTTGTGGAATCATTTTAAAATCGAGGTTTTCAGATTAAAAAAAAAAAGAATGACAAAAGATAGCAACCATCACTTAACTTGATTACGTACATTAAATACTTACGCTGATAGCAAAGAAAAAACAGCCCACTTCCTTGTATGTGTACACATGCTTGGCCAATAAAGTGGATTATATTTTGTCTATTTGTGAGTACGGGCTCTCACCATCGTTTGTTTGAGTCCCGAAGCCTTTGGAATATTTTTAGACAGATAGATATCAATGACTTTATTTCTTAGCTGTTTCTTTATTTAGAGGATGATACGAGTTTGTTTGTGGCCAATAGTGCTTTGCTTGTTTTTAGATATTTATATAATTCTTTTTTATAATTTTGTGATCAGCAGGTAAACTACTAGTTAAGTGAGGCTGAACAGGAAGATCTTAAATAATTACGAGAGTTTAGCCTTAATATTTATTGTATGCAGGTATCTTTATCAGATAATTTTGGCAGAATTGGCTTTTACAGGAATGCTAATAATGCAGTAATGGTGTGTTAAATAAATGTCAAGTGCTACAGAAAATAAGTTCTGACATTTGGTTCTGGTCCAGGCTTGAGTTGCCCAGTTATTTCCTGAGATAATCCTCTGGCTCCAGGAGGCTGTTTTGTTCTCTGTAATAGTAGACAGCAGTGATAGTTAGAGGGATGTTAAAGTCATGAGGACTCAACAGAAACTCACCGTGTAAAAGTATTCATGTAACACTGAAAAGATGCCAAAGTTGAACATATGGATAAAAGAGATGAGCGTTTGCTGGATTCAATAATTAGCAATAGTAGCAGGACAGAAAAAGGTCTGCTTTCATTCTGCGTGTCAGCGTCTCACTCTGGTCAGAATTCTCTCACAAAAGCTACCACTTATTGAAAATGAAAATATATGTTAAATAACTTTTATTTCTGCACACAGGACAATCTCAGGCTTCTTTTGTTTTTAGACTTCAACACAAACAAACATCACAGAGTATTGTTGTTCGGAGCAGTAAATGACACAGACAGTGCAGGGAGAGGAAACAAACGTAGGGCTGCAGAGCTGGCTTCCGCATCCAGCTGCAAAACAACAACATGAATCCCTGCTCCCATCATTCTTTCTCACCAACATCAGGATCCTCACAAATAAAACGCAGGAGCTACAATTAGAGATTTACGATAACCATCTTGTCCGGGAGTGTTGTCTACTGATTGCGACAGAATTCTGGCTTCATCTGCAAATCCTGATACCGCCAGGACCGCAACAAATATTCCAGTAAGAGAAGGGGTGGGACCTCTGTGTTTATGGACTCCAGGACTGGTGCCATAACAGCAGAATTATAGACAGTCACTCCTCACAGGACTTAGAGGCCATGTCCATTCAGTGCAGGCCCACCTACCTACAGTGGTGTAAAAAAAGTGGTTTGCCCCTTTCCTGTTTTCTTCTTTTTTTTGTATGTTTGTCACACTGAAATGTTCCAGATCATCCAAAAAAAAAAAATTCAATATAAAACAACAATAACACCTGTAAACATAAAATGCAGTTTCTAATTGAAGGTGTTTGTTATTAAGGGGGAAACAATCTATACCTATATGCCCCTGTGTGAAAACGTGATTGCCCCCTAAATCCAATAACTTGTTGGTCCACCTTTAGCAGCAACAACTGCAATCAAGCATTTGCTATAACGATAAATAAATAAATAAATGAGTCTGTGAAGGAATTTTGGCCCACTCATCTTTGCAGAATTGTTGTAACTCAGGCACACTGGAGGGTTTTCAAGCATGAGCTGCATTTTAAAAGTCATGCTGCAGCATCTCAATCAGGTTCAGGTCAGAACTTTGACTAGGCCAAAGTCTTTATTTATTGTTTTATTTTTTCCGATCTTTCAATGCAATTCAGTTTTATTCATATAGCACCAAATCACAACAACAGTCGCCTAAAGGTGCTTTATATTGTAAGGTAGACTCTACAATAATACATACAGAGAAAAACCCAACAATCAGATGACCCCCTATGAGCAAGCACTTTGGCAACAGTGGGAAGGAAAAACTCCCTTTTAACAGGAAGAAACCTCCGGCAGCACCAGGCTCAGGGAGGGGCGGGCCATCTGCTGTGATTGGTTGGGGTGAGAGAAGGAAGACAGGATAAAGACATGCTGTGGATCTTCAGGAAAAATGTTCCTCCCAGTCTTCCACAGAGTACTTACTTGCACGTCATTATGTAATGCTCGTATCATACTATGGGCATTATGACATGAATATGATGTGATAAACACCACTCTGCATTTAATCATTCATCCATCCATCCATCTTCATCCGCTTTATCCGAGGCCGGGTCGCGGGGGCAGCAGCCTAAGCAAAGAGGCCCAGACCTCCCTCTCCCCAGCCACCTCCTCCAGCTTATCCGGGGGAATACCAAGGCGTTCCCAGGCCAGCCGAGAGATATAATCTCTCCAGCGTGTCCTGGGTCTGCCCCGGGGCCTCCTCCCGGTGGGACATGCCTGGAACACCTCACCCAGGAGGCGCCCAGGAGGCATCCTTGTCAGATGCCCGAACCACCTCAGCTGGCTCCTTTCGATGTGGAGCAGCAGCTGCTCTACTCTGAGCCCCTCCTGGATGGCCGAACTTCTCACCCTATCTCTAAGGGAGAGGCCAGCCACCCTTCGGAGGAAGCTCATTTCTGCCGCTTGTATCCGCGATCTCGTTCTTTCGGTCACTACCCACAGCTCGTGGCCATAGGTGAGGGTAGGGACGTAGATCGACCGGTAAATTGAGAGCTTCACTTTTACACTCAGCTCCCTCTTCACCACAACGGACCGGTGCAGCGTCTGCATTACTGCAGCTGCAGCCCCAATCCGTCTGTCGATCTCCGGCTCCCTTCTCCCATCACTCGCGAACAAGACCCCGAGATACTTGAACTCCTCCACTTGGAGCAGGAACTCAACCCCGACCCGGAGTGGGCACTCCACCCTTTTCCGGTTGAGAACCATGGCCTCAGATTTGGAGGTGCTGATCCTCATTCCCGCTGCTTCACACTTGGCTGCGAACCGTTCCAGTGCGAGCTGGAGGCCCTCACCCGATGAAGCCAACAGAACCACATCATCCGCAAAAATCAGAGATGAGATTCTGAGGCCACCAAAGCGAAAGCCCTCCGCCACTTGGCTGCACCTAGAAATCCTGTCCATAAAAATTATGAACAGAACCGGAGACAAAGGGCAGCCCTGGCGGAGCCCATCACCCACCGGGAACGAG